GATATTGTGAGGGCCTTACAAAAGCATCGTTGTTTCTGATAGAGTATTACACAGACTGCATTCATGCTCCCATGATATTTACCTCGAGAGTAGGGTATAGGACTGAGGTTGCCATACATGGCATAATTTATGTGAGTTTCTCTTTGATCAGGATGTTATTCTTTTGACTGTGCCACTACCCGAGGGTAGTGTGAGGATTTGACATGACTTGTATTGGTTGAGGTTAGGATATGTATTTTCATTTATTTGTTGTTTTACTCATAGGATTTAGAGTTGGTATTTAGTGATTCACAATTTGAGATACGAGGTATATACATGAGGGTTTCCTTATTTGGATTATTTCGTTCGACGTACCCATTCTCGTGTTGTGTATTTCTAAATATCAATTTTCGCTTAGTTTAGGATAGATGATTATATATCTATATGTACTAACCTCTATCTTTATATATACTCTTAATCGCCTCCCCCTGGGGGTGGTGGAGATGTTCTCGCTAGAGCTTTGACGCTCGTTGTTTCCTCTTTTTTCAGGCAGCGAGCCATGCGTTTGGAGAGTCGCAGGTTGACGGACTTTCAGCTTAGCATCCATCAATATTATCAGTAGTTATTTGGAACTCCGTAGTATTTTATTATTTGTTTTCAGACATTTAGATATGTATTTTATTTTGTAAAGGCGGAGTGCCTTAGTACTACTTCATTTGACTCTATGTATTGAGATACTTCACATTGGTTTACGTTTGTCAGTTGTATTTCATTTTATTCGGTTAGAACATGATTAATATTGTTATTGGATACTCTCATTTCCTTTTTCATGTTCATTGCATTACTATCTTATTCTATCTGCTTTGTATCTACACTTGTTTTTTATTGATTCTACTAGAGAGATATTACTGTGATGGTAAAATCTGTTGTTATACTGTGTGGGTGCATGACATGTTTGACGTCCTTGTGTTCACATTGGACTATAGCCTTGTGTGAAAATAAGGGCATCACATTTGGTATCGGAGCTCTAGTTCCAGCATCCTTAGGATCATCCTGTGTCGAGTCATGGAGCTAGGATAGAGTCCGCTAGTAATTCCTAGGATTCATGTATAGAGTCCGCTAGTAATTCCTAGATTGAGTGAGGACGTTATATATATAACTCGAAAATTATGAAATTTAATTTTTATGATAACTATCTTACTTGATTGAAAAGTATTTGCATGAATGATATGTTAAACGATTTACCTATTGATATATGTTACGTTATTTTGCTTGAGGTCTCATTTACTGTATCTTATAAGCTCTACTCCTGAATTTCAGATGTCAAGAAGAGGATGTGGTCGTAACCCGTGCTCAGGGAGTTGGGCAAGATGACCCAGAGGCCGAGCTACAGCATGCTCCACAGTACCTGATTGACCTCATAGCACCGCTTGAAGCCCGGTTAGTAGCAATTGAGGAGCAGATAGCGAATCAGGTTCTGCTAGTAACACCACCTCCAGTGGTTCTGCCACCAGCAGCTCATGTACCTATTGCAGAAGAGTCGCTAGCATTCACACAACCACTAGCTGATGATAGGGCTACGGAGCAGGAGGCTTGGCTCTGTTTAGTGGAGAGGTACCAAAAGATGAGAGCACCAGAGTTTCATGGCACATCAGATTCACTTACGGTGCACAAGTTGAAGGAAAATGTGGGGAATATTTCAGATATGCTTAATGTGGATATAGTACAGAAGCAGAGGCTAGCAACATTTAGCCTTAAGGGCGACGCAGAAGGGTGGTACCAACTTCAGTTCACTCCAGATCAGCGTATGACACTCTGCTAGGAGCATTTCATCTTTTTCTTCGATGAGCAGTATGTGTCAGTGGCGACGAAAGACGGGAAGGAGTTGGAGTTAGCCCGGTTGGAGTAGGGAGATATGACTGTAGTCGATTATGAGAGCAAGTTGGTGGGATTGCTCAGGTTTATGAGCATGTGGTAGACTGGAGAGCGTCAGGCTTAGATGTTTTTTATGGGGCTTCGTCTGAGTTTGTGCGCTATCTTGTATCCAGACAATTTTATTCAGTGTGGGAGGTTGCTGATGCCGCCATAGCACAGGAGATAGAGACCGCCATTTTTCAGAAGGGCAAAGAGGGGAGTTCTAAAGCAGGACAGACTGGAGAAAAGGGTAAGGGTAAGAGACCATTTTCAGGACCCGGAGGGCCCTAGCAGTAGGGCAATGGTTCATAGCAGCAAGGCCCTCATAAGAAGGGACCTCAGTAGGATTAGAGGATACAGAAGCAATGCAGGTTTCAGGGAACTTGTTTTTCACTGCCACAAGTTTGGACATAGAGTCGTAGAGTGCCACAACGCACTAGCCGGAGGCTAGCAGGGCAAGAATCAGGGTCAGTAACAGCAGAACCGTGGATAGGATAGAGGTCAGAGCTAGTAGGTAAGACTTGAGGCACCGCCAGTAGTTCTGAGGATAGAGTGACAAGTGCGATCTATCCAGGAGATTCCTCAGGGATAGATAGTCTAGTATACCATGGATCCTTCAATGCAGCGGTCCACAACTTCAATCAGAGTGTATGTAGTTGTACTGTGTGATCACGGTGTGAGTGAGGCCGTAGTGGAAGGTACATTCCTTGTGAACTCCTTTCCAGCCAGTATTCTTTTCGATTCAAGAGCTTTGCATTCTTTCATCTCTTATGCTTTCATGACTAGACTCCAGCTTGTAGCACAACCTTTAGATATTCCTCTATTAGATTCTACTCCTTTAGGAGAAGTGTCCCTCTTAGAGAGTATCTGTAGGAGATGCATTATCAGCTTAGATGACTCTGAGTTCGTTATTAATTTGATTGTTTTGCACATGTTTGAGTTCAATGTGATTCTTGGTATGGATTGGTTATCGTCCTACCATATCAGTATTGACTATTTTGTGAAAACAGTTAGCTTGAAAGCATCCGATGGGACTGACTTAGTTATAGTGACCTTACAGGGCAACTAGTTTACATAGTCATTTCTGGCATACGTCGAGGAGGTGATATTTTAAGATCAGGGTATTGATTTGTGCGAGACTAGAGTCGTCTTAGAGTATCAGGATGTCTTTCAAGACATACCTAGATTACCTTCAGTGAGATTTGTTGAGTTCTGCATCGAGTTATAGCCAGGCACAACACCGATCTCCCGTGCACCTTATCGTATAGCACCTGCTGAGATGAGGAAGCTACAGATTCAGTTAGAGGAGCTCATTGCTTAGTGTTTTATTTGCCGGAGTCATTCTTCATGAGGAGCACCAATCCTCTTCGTGAAGAAGAAGGACGACAACATGCGTTTGTGCATAGATTATTGTGAGTTGAATAAGGTCACCATCCGAAACAGGTATCCACTACTGAGAATTGATGACTTATTAGACTAGTTGTAAGGAGTGTAGTGTTTCTCGAAGATTGATTTTTATTCTGGCTATCATCAGTTGTGGGTTAAGGAAATGGATATCCCTAAGACTGCCTTTTTGACTCAATATGGGTCTTTCGAGTTCCTTATCATGCCATTTGGGCTAACTAATACACCCGTAATATTCATGGATTTGATAAACCAGGTTTCTATTCATACTTGGACCAGTTCGTGATCGTTTTCATCAACGATATCCTTATTTATTTGAGATCGGAGACCGAACATGAGTAACATCTTCGTCTGGCATTGCAGACTTTATACGGGAGCACCAGTTGTATGCTAAGTTTAGCAAGTATGAATTTTGGCTTTCAGAGGTCAGATGTTTGGGCCATGTCATTAGCAAGGAGGGTATTGCGATTGATCCAACCAAAGTCGAGGTTGTTCTTGATTAGGAGCCCTTGAAGACCGTTACAGAGATTTGTAGATTTTTAGGTCTGGCCGGCTATTATAGAAAGTTTATTCAGGACTTTTCAAAAATTGCTACCCTGTTGACATCCCTTATGAAGAAGAGTGTATAGTTTGTTTGGGGATCAGAATGCCAGAAGGCCTTTGAGACTTTAAAGACTAAGTTGACTACAACGTCAATGTTGATCAACCCGAGCAGTGATAAGACATTTGTGGTCTACATACATGCATCTTTGTCAGGACTAGGAGGCATTTTGATGCAGACTCAGAGAGTGGTGGCTTACATTTTGCAGAAGCTAAGGACTTATGAGTAGAATTATCCTACCCACGACTTGGAGTTGGCAGTAGTGGTCTTCGTACTGAAGACATGAAGGCATTATCTTTATAGGGTATAGTTTGAGCTATTTACAGACTATCAGAGTCTGAAGTATCTTTTTTCTCAAAAGAAACTCAACCTGAGGCAGCAGCGATAAGTTGAGTTCATTAGGGATTACGAATTCGCACTACAATATCATCTGAGGAAGCTGAACGTTGTAGCAGACGCGTTGAGTAGGAAGCATCGTCATAGGCTTGCAGCTTTGAGGTGCTAGTTATATCGAGATCTTCTCGCTCATAACCAATTTGACTTTAGGCCGGGGATTGGTGGGAGCACCACTTTTGGGAGCTTTAGCCGTACAGCTGTCATGGATTGATAGAGTGATTAGTGCTCAGGCGGAGGACTCTTAGATTTAAATCCAAAATGGGGAAATTTCCAAAGAGCCCAAGGCTGATTGGACCATTAGATCAGATGGGGTCCTTCGGATGAAAGGCCGACTAGTGGTGCCGGATATTCCGTAGTTGAAGAAGGAATTATTTGATGAGGCTCATCGCACCAGGTACATAGTGCATCCAGGCACAACCAAAATATACAAGGACCTGAAGGGATATTTTTAGTGGAGCGGTATGCGTAAGGATATCACGGAGTATGTAGCCAAGTGCTTACCTGCCAGCAAGTGAAGATAAAATATCAGAGACCCGCAGTTACCCTACAAGCTTAACCCATTCCTGCATAGAAGTGGGTAGATATTTCTATGGACTTCATTGTGGCCTTGTCGAGGTCTAGCAAAGGGAATGATTCGATTTGGGTGATTGTTGACCGATTGACGAAGTCGATGCATTTCTTACTAGTGAAGACGACCTACACGATGGAGACTTATGTGAGGATTTTCATCCGGGAGATTGTGTGTTTGCATGGAGTTCTAGAGACGATTGTATCAGATCATGGCTCAATTTTCACTTCACATTTTTGGAAGAGCTTACAGAATTCTTTCGGCAGCCAAATAGAGAGAGTCAACTAGGTTTTGGAGGACATGTTGTGAATATGTGTTATCAATTTTTAGTGTAGCTGGGAGGATCATATTTTATTGATTAAATTTGCCTACAATAATAGTTACCAATCTACTATAGGCATGACTCCTTATGAAGCATTGTATAGGAGGCCTTGTAGATCCCCGATATGTTGGACGGAGCCAGAGGACAGCTTGCTACTTGGGCCAGACCTCGTGAGGCAGACTACGAAGAAGGTAGTATTGATTCAAGAGCGTATTCTCACAGCCCAGAGTTGACAGAAGAGCTACACGGATCATAGGCGACGACCTTTAGAGTTCCAGGTTGGAGATTATGTTATGTTGAAGGTGTCACCTATGAAAGGTGTTCAGCGATTCGATAGACGAAGAAAGCTTACCTCGAGATATATTGGTCTGATTAGGATAGTGGAACGTGTTGGAGTCATTTCATATCGGCTAGATCTTCTAGCATCGATGTCGGGTGTGCATGATGTTTTTCATGTTTCGATGCTCAAGAAGCATTTACGTAATGAGGAGGAGTAGAGAGTGATTGATGCATCAGAGATTGAGCTTCAGGCCGATTTAACCATCATTGAGATTTTAGTTTGTATTCTTGCTAGAGAGGATAAGAGACTTAGAAACAAAGTGATTACTTTAGTCAAAGTTCAATGGAACCAGAAAGGAACTGAGGAGGCTTCTTGGGAGCGCGAGGAGGATATGCGTCATGACTATCCACACCTGTTTGAGCAGGTATAATGTCAACTATGATTTGTTTGTGTTTATTTTGTCTTTATGGCTACATTTGCATTTAACGTTGGAATGTGGATATTAACACTTAGCTTCTAATCATTTGGAACACATAGTATATACATGGGGGGGTTCTTTGTTTGGATTTTTCGCCCGACGTACTAGTTTCGTTTAATTAGGGGTTAAGTGAGAGTATTTGCATTCTAGATTGTTAAGTATAAATATCACTTATGATTCATATCTAGAGATTAATGGTACGAGATGTGTATATGAGGGTTTCATTGTCTAGATTATTCCCTCAACATACTTTTCTCGTATTATTAATCTATAAGATACGATTACAAAATTTTGAGGACAAAATTCTGTTAATAGGCAGTGAATGTAAAACTCTGTAAATTTTAGAAAAATACTATGGTTAATAGTGATAAATGAGTTATATTATAATAAATATCATTTATGGATGAGTGAGTATGTTAGTAATTGATTTGATATTAATTAAGTATATATATGAGAGTATACAAGTGTTAAACATGCACAAAACGAGTGAAAACATGCACGTGAACACAAAACCTGTAGGCTGGAAAATGCCTCGGGTCAGTCGATTGATACTTGCCTATCAGTCGACTTATAGGAGCTCTCAGTCGCTGATGGCAGTAACAATCGCGATCAGGTGACAAGTAGATTGCAGTATTGACTGGTTTCGGTCTTTTTGGATTTTCGGATTGACCGATATATATAATATAGATAATAATAATATATTATATATATACTATATATTATATATATATATAATATATTATATAATATTATAATATATATTTAATATTATAATATAATTATTATATAATTATATATCTCTATATTATTTACTATATTACTGATAATAGTATATATATATAGCTATATATATAATAATAGTTAATATCTATATACTATATACTATACTATATATATTTAATATATTTTATATTATATATATATAGATAATATATATATATATATATATCATCCCGAAAATCTATTTCTTATATTCAAAGTGAATAAACATCACTATCTCTCCTCGAAACCCTAGATCATATTTTGTGAGTTTTGAAGAGCTTTGTGAAGCAAATATCGAGAAGAAGGCGAGCTCGTCGGCGTTTGGCGAGGGAGAACCTATTTTCTTGCATATTTGAGGATTCCAACATATTTTTAAGTGAGTTTTATCTCCAACAATCTCATCCCCATTTTTATTTGGTTTTTACTGAGTTTTATTTGGTTTTATTGATCCTTAAAACCTAGTTTAAGTATAAAGATTGTTCTTTCAGACTATAAGATACAAAGATTTGATCTTTTTGATTTAAAAATATATTAAACAAAGTTTTAGTTGTGGATTTAAAGTTTTAAACGTGATATAACATGAGTTCTGATTAAAGTAGGTGTTTTTCATGATAATCTTACACATATGACACTTAAAAACATGTTAGGGTTTAGATTTATCTCCTAATTTTGAAATCATGTTTTCATACAGTAGAATTAACTCTACATATGTTGATTACAAGTTTTACAACAAGTTCTATTGAGGGAATTTAAACTTTTATGTATTTTGTTGAATATGAAATCCTTTCACAGAAAAATAGGATTTTTCTCGGGTCGGTCGACTGATCATAGGGAATCAGTCGACCGATTGTCCTCTGATCGGTCGATCGGGCATAGGTTACCAGTCGACCGATGAGAGCCTTTTGTGCATGGTTTGTACATGACATCAGTTGATTAATGGCACATGATCGGTCGAGTGGTCTGGGTTGTTTTGTGTATTTTATTTCTATTTCACATGTTTTGTTCACACACACGAAGATACAGGCTTCGTTTACGAGGGTATACATATTGGAGTTTGAGCACGCATGTGCATTTGGAGGTATGTAATTCTATATTTCGATTTGTCATTTTTGAGAACGATGCATTTTACATTTCATCATATTGTGGATGCTTGAATAGGTTAGTTGGTATCCTACAATGAGACCGTGGGAGACTACACTCAGAGTGAGGTTAGTTGGTATGCTATAATGAGAACGTGGCAGACTATACTCTATGATGC